AAGATCGCACGCCGATCGAGGCTCGCGCGCCCCCCCCAGACAGCAGAGGGCTGCGGGTCGGGAGTGAGGGGCCCCGGCAGGGCTGGGGGGGCAGGGCTGGGCTGGCAGGGGCTGCAGGTCGGGAGTGAGGGGCACCGGCAGGGCTGGGAGGGGGCAGGGCCGGGCTGGCAGGGGGCTGCGGGTCGGGAGTGAGGGGCACCGGCAGGGCTGGCGGGAGGGCAGGGGGCTGCGGGTCGGGAGTGAGGTGGCCCGTGTGACCCTCCCCCCTCCCCCCCCCAGACGTGATGGTCTGGTCCAACGAGCGGGTGATGTGCTGGGTGCAGCTGATCGGGCTGAAGGAATTCGCCAACAACCTGGCGGAGAGCGGGGTGCACGGGGCGCTGCTGGCCCTGGACGACGCCTTCGACTGCAGCGACCTGGCCCTGCTCCTACAGATCCCCACGCAGAACACCCAGGTCGGCCGGGGGCCAGAGGAGCAGAGCTGGGCTGGGGCAGGAAGTGGGGGGGGGAGGGGCTGGGGGCTGGGTGGACCTGGAGACGGGAGGGGGCAGGAGAGCAGAGATTGGGTGGGCAGGAGGTGGGGGGAAGGGCTGGGAGGGCTGGGGCGAGGGAGGGGAAGGGGGCTGGGGAGCGGAGAGGGGGCAGGCGGGAGGTGGGGGGAGGGCCAGGAGGGATGGGGGCTGGGTGGGCCTGGGGAGGGTGCCGGAGAGCAGAGAGGGGGCAGGCAGGAGGGATGGGGGCTGGGGGGCAAGGGAGGGGAAGGGGGCTGGGGAGCAGAGGGGCGCGGGAACCAGGGGGGAAGAGAAGGAGGGTGGGGAGAGCTGGGGGCAGGGCAGGAAGGGGGGCTGGGGGGTTCCCATGTTCAAGGGCAGCCCAGGTTTTGATCTGGGGTCTCAGAGGGGGGTGCAAGGCCTGATAGGGATATTGGGGGGGGCCCCGATCACACCTGACACCCCCCCCCTTTCTCTCTGGGCTCAGGCGCGGCAAATCCTGGAGACGGAATTTGGGAATCTCATCGCTATGGGAACGGACCGGAGGCTGGATGAGGTCAGAAGTCCCCCCTCCCCCCCACTCCCAGGAATGTTCCTCCCCGGGGGGGGTGGTGTCCCCCCCCACCTGTCCATGTGCAGCCCCCCTCCCCGCCATCCCTGATCCCACAGAACTGGTGCTGCACACAACCCCCCTGCCAGGCCATGGCCCCCCCCCAGGAATCATCCCCTCCCTCCGCCCAGGCCACGTGTTTCAGGGGCGGGAGGGGGGTGCCCAGCCCCCCCCCCCCCCAGCTCTGTGACCTCTGACCCCCCAGGACAGCACCAAGACCTTCAGCCGCTCCCCGTCGTGGCGGAAGATGTTCCGGGAGAAGGACCTGCGGGGGGTGAGCCCCGACTCGGCCGAGATGCTGCCCCCCACCTTCCGCGCCACCGCCATGGCGCCCCCCAGCGTGCAGCTCCGCAAGGTGCAGCCCGAAGGTACGGGCACGGCACTGCCCTGGGGGGCGGGAGAAGCACTGGTACGGGGCAGAGGGCACTGCTGTGGGGAAGCTCGCAGCATTGTGGGGGATGGGGGGCATATCATGGCTGTTGGCACTGCTGTGGGGAAGCTCGCAGCACTGGGGGGCGTGTCCTGGCTGTTGGCACTGCTGTGGGGAAGCTCGCAGCACTGTGGGGGGAGGGGGTCATGTCCTGGCTGGGGACACTGCTGTGGGGAAGCTCGCAGCGCGGGCTTAGTTCCACCGTAGGATTTCCAGTGCTTGTGCCCTGATGGTCCCAGCGGTGGGGTATGTGTGTGTGTGGTGGGGGGCTGTGTGACCTCTGACCTCTCCTTGTCCCGTCCCCCCCCAAGGAAATTCCCTGGCCAGCCAACGGGGGCGACGGCGTCTCGGTGCCGAACCTATTCCTGCTAGCGCCGGGTGAGTGCGGCGCGGGGGCCTGCTGGGAGCCTGGGGGGGGGCGTCTGGGGGGGGGATCCAGTCTCATTCTCTGCTTTCCACCCCAGGCGCCAGGGACCCATGGACGGACACTGCTGCTGGAGGGGGGGGTTCTGCCCCCCCTCCCCACGACGAGGGGAGGGGCCTGCGTCTGTCCCCTCCCCCCAAAAAACCACTCCCGCCACCGCCTGCAGGGGGCGTTGCTGCTGCTGTGGGTGGGGGACACCCCCGGCCCTGTGGACACTGAGGAGGGACCGGGGGGCCGAGCCCCTCCCCGGGAAGGGGGAATCCGGGGCATGACCCCCCCCATACACCTGTCTGTTTGGAGTTTTTGTTATTGTTCTGTCAAGGGCGGGGGGCAAGAATGTGAATGGGGTTAAAGGCCCCCCCCAGCCTTGTAGCCCCCCTCCACACCTGGCCTAGAGCCCCCCAGCCTGAGCCCCCCCCCATCTCCCCTCCCCTCTGGATTTGTAGCCCCCAAGTCTGGTATCTGCCCCCTCCCTCCCCCTCCGGTGGCATCCTGTGTCCTCGCCTCACCCCAGGCCCTCAAAGGGTAACTCTGTGCTGGGAATCTGCTGCTAAAAGTGGGGGGCCCCATTTGACTCCCCCAAATGCCATCACCCTGTGGGCTGCTTCCTGCCCCCCTGGGCTGGACTACCCCTTGCTTTCCCCAGGCTGGGGGTTGCCCTTCCCTCCCTAAAGGGCAGACAACCCCGCCCCACAGCGGGGGGAGCAGCAGCTTGAAACAAAGGCTGCTCTGTTGGGGGGGGGGATCCTCACACACACACCCCCCAGACTGTCACGGAGGGGGCTGGGCTCGGGGGGGGGGGAAATCAAACCCTGGAGGGGGGACACTGAGGGTGCTAGCCTGGGGGCTGGGCCCAGGGGGCTCTGACCTGGGGAGGGTCGGCCCTGGGGGGGGTCCTGGCCCTGGGGGGGGCTCTGGCCCGGGCGCTGTACCATAAGAGTTGTATTTTCTGTGCATATCTGTGGCGTGGCTGCTGGTGGAAATGACTTTTGCTGCCGTTTAACGAACCTTCGTTTAAGGCCCCCCTCCAGGTTAATTTAAGTTTATTTTGGGGCCCTGTTTTTATTTGGGGGGGCAGGGGGGTTGCATGAGGGGAAAAAACGGAGGAAAAACTTTACAAAAAAAATGTAAAAAAAAAAAAATGCTGGGGGGGGGCTGTGACAGCCGGTCCCCCCCCTCCCCCACGGGGGCTGGAAAACGTTTAAAAAAAGAAAAATGTTTATGAAAAAAACTAAACGGCTTCATTTGTCCAGCGCCGGGCAGGGGGCCCCCAAAACCCAGCCCCCCCCCCCTCGACAGGGGCCACATCCCAGCGCCGGGCAGGGGGCCCCCAAAACCCAGGCCCCCCCCCGAGAGGGGCTACGTGTCCGCCCGTGCAAGGGATCCATATACCCAGCCCTGCGCCCCACCCCAGAGGTGGCTGCCTGTGGGGAGCCCAGACCCAGCTACCGGGTGGGGGGGCTATAACTCCTTCCCCCCTCCTGGAAAAAAAAAAATCTCAGGTGGGGGGGAAGGGGGCCAGTTTTATTCACAGGGAAACAAGCACCAAAGACCAAAATGTACAATGTGGGGGGGGCGCTGGGGGGGTCCCACAGCTCATGCTGGGGGGGGCACTTATGGGGGGAACAGGGCAGTGTCAGGGGGAATGAGATGGGAGCATCAAAGGAGGTAAGTGGGGGAAAGTTGCATGATGCCTGGCTGGGGGGGCGCTGCAGCTCAGTGGCTCCCCCCCCATTGCCCTCTGAGTGGGGCTGGGCCCCCCCACCTAAAGGGGGTGACCCCCCCCCTCTGGGCCTTGTAACTCGGCACTGGGGGGGTGAGATGGGGCAGCGCAGTGAGAGTTGTGGGGCTCGTGTATCCCCTCCCCTGGGGGGGCCACCTGCTCCTTGGCCCCCTTTTACCCCTAAGGGTCAGAGTTCAGCCAGGTTCTTCCCCTACCCCCCAAAAAAAATTATTCTCCCCACGAGCCTTTCACTGCTCCTGATGTTCGAAGATGGATGAGACAGACCTGGGGAGGAGAGGGAAGGGTTAAACTCCTGGTGACCCCCCTCCCCCAGGAAGTGTGGGTCCTGGCCCCCAAAGGGATAAACTGGTGACTCCCCAACCCCCTCCCCCTGGAACTGGGGTCCTGCCCCCCAAAGGGATAAACTCCTGGTGACCCCCCAGCCCCCTCCCCCTGGAACTGGGGTTCTGCCCCCCAAAGGGTTACACTGTGACTCCACCAGAACTGGGGGGTCACATCCCTCCCCCCCCCCACGCCCAGCCCTCTTCCCAAGCTGAAGCCCAACAGCTTGTACCCTCCCCCCCCAGAAGGGGGCCCCCTGGCTCCGGGGGGGGGATTACTTACTGGACCAAGGCCCCAGAGAGCTGGTCCATGATGCCCCCTGCAAATCAGAAGCACAGAGGGGTCAGGTGAGTGCCCCCCCCCATGCCCTCCCCAGGACCCCCTCCCACCAGGGGCTGAGCGCAGGGGGCACTCACCTGGCTGGCAGCCCGTCTCACAGAGGAGAGGGCACACGTAGCAGAACTGGCAGTACTGGCGGTGTGGGGGGAGGAGAGAGAGAAGTTAATTACTGCCAGGGCACTGCTGTGGGGAAGCTTGCAGCACCAGGATCCCTGCCCGGGGACACTGCTGTGGGATAGCTTGCAGTGCTGGGGGCACTGCTGGGGGGAAGTTTGCAGAGCTGGGGTCCCCTGCCAGGGGCACTGCTAGGGGGACGCTCGCAGCACCGGACTCCCTGTGATGCTCCCCAACTGGGGCACTGCTCTGGGGAAGCTCACAGTGCTGGCGTACCTGCCTGGTGGCACTGCCGTGGGGGAGCTCATAGCACTGGGTTCTCCAGCCAGGGGCACTGCTCCAGGGAAGTTTGCAGCACTGGGGACACTGCTGTGGGGAAGCTCGCAGCACCAGGATCTTCAGCTGGGGCACTGCTCCAGGGAAGCTCACAGCACTGGGTTCTCCAGCCAGGGGCACTGCTGGGGGAAAGGTCGCAACACCAGGCTCCCTAGCTGGGGCACTGCTATGGGGAAGCTCGCAGCGCTGGGTTCTACAGCCAGGGGAACTGCTGGGGGGAAGCTCACAGCCCCTACCTGGCAGGACTCGCAGTGCTCGCTGGTGTCGCCCTCCTTGCACGGGCACTTCTCACATTCCCCGCAGTGCTGGAACGAACCACCAGAGGGGGGGAGCATGTCAGGGCTAGGACCACAAGCCAGCCCCGCACCCCCCATGAGCCAGGGGAGAGAACCCAGGAGTCCTGGCTCCCAGCCCCCCCCCCCCCACTCTAACCACTAGACCCCACTGTGATGGAGTAGGGAGTATTAATCTGGGAATGGTGCAGGGGAGTTTTACTAGTTTACTGTCTTCTGCTAACACAGGGCGTGCCTCAGTTTCCCTGGGGTGCTGCACCAATACCAGATGGGGATGGGAAACAAGGGGGTGACTTCACTGAGGGGTGATACCTGATGGCCAGCAGGAGAGGGCTGGGGCCAGGTGACACCTGCCCAGGAAACTGAACAAAGGCTGGAGGAGGAGCCAGGGGGAGGCGGCTGGAGAGGTTTTCAGTTTGGAGCCGTCTGGGGAAACGGAGGGAGGCCCAGAACCGGGGTCTGGGCTCCCCACCCCCCAAGATGGACCGGACTGAGGTTCCTGGTTTCTGTACCTACAAGCTCTGGTTTGGACTGTGTTCCTGTCGGCTAATAAACCACCTGTGTTACTGGCTGGCTGAGAGTCACGGTGCATCGCAGGAAGTGGGGGTGCAGGGCCACGACTCCCCCACACTCCGTGACAACTGGTGGCAGAGGTGGGATGTGCTGCACCCCGGGGATCGCGCTTCCTGCAGTGAGTCAGTGGGGAGCAGTAAAACGAAGGGGGACTGACGAGGCCCAGGCCTGCTGAAGGCTCAGAGAGGAGCTAGGCTTAACCCCTGGCAGTGGGTGACCAGCGAGAAGGGCTGTTGCAGGAACGGGGTCCCCTGGCGAGCGGTGCCAGGGGCAGAGGAGGCTGCGGCTTGACCCTGGCAGAGAGGGGGTGACCTGGAGAAGGGTGGCACAGTCAGGGTCTTCCTGGAAACCATGGGGAGCTGAGAGCACCCAGGCCTGCGAGTGGCCAGCAGGGAGATGTATCTCCATCGCCTTAAGGGGGAGGAGGAGGAGGAGGATCGCTCGGAGGAGCTGAGCCCTGCCCCGGAGGGAAGCAGCCCCGCGGCACCGGCGTCTGTCCCGGCTGGGAGGGGTCGGACTGATGCCAAGGGCACCCCGAGGCCCCTTCGATCTATGGCTAGGGGCGGGGCTGGAAGGAGTGAGACGAACTCCGGGGGCACCGTGACCCCCGCGGCCAGCAGGGGATCCTCACGACCAAGCTCCCCGTCGCTGGAGCTGAGGCGGCTGGAATGGGAGAGGGAGATAAAACTGGAAGAGTGGGAGGATGAGGAGAAGGAGCAGGAGGATGAGGAGAAACAGCGGCAGCATGAGCTGGAGCTGGCGAGGCTGAGGCGCAGAGAGCCCCCCGCTGCGGTGAGCGAGGGGGGACCCAGGACTGCCTGGGGCTTTGATCGGCGCATCCTGTCCCCGTGTGAGGAAGGGCAGCACCTAGGTGAATTCCTGATGGCCTTTGAGAAGGCCTGCGAGCTGCACAGGATTGACCCTGCAGATAGGCTCCGGTTTCTCATCCCCTTACTGAACCCCAAAGCTGTGGGGCTGTACAGCCGAATGGAAGGGGCGGAGACAGAGGACTATGAACTGTTCAAACAGGCCCTGCTCCGCGGGTTGGGGCTGACTCCCGCGGCGTACCGGAAAAAGTTCCGGAGTCTGCGTAAAACCTCTGAGGACGCATATCTGGAACTGAACAAACTCCAGGCCGCCTGGGAAGGCCCTTTCAAGGTTGTCAAGCAACTAAATGAGGTAAACTATGTGGTGGAGCTGTCGAACCGGGCACACCGCCACCGCGTATACCATGTCAATATGATGAATCCGTGTGTGGGCATTGGGGGGAGCAGGGGGATGACCCATTAGTAGATCTATTCCCTGGGACAAGAGCTGGCTCTCCCCTGGAAACAATTCCCCTCTCGGGTCGGCTGACCCCTGCCCAGCAAGGTGAGATCGGAGGGGTGCTACATTTGTACCGACAGCTGTTCTCTATCCAGCCTGGACTCTCTAATCTGACTGTCCACCGGGTGCAGACAGGATCGCACCCGCCTATAAGATGCTCCCCCTTCCGAGTCACAGGGAAAACTGCTCAGGACCTGGAAGGAGAAGTCAGTGACACACTGGCTTTGGGGGTGATCCAGCCGTCCTCCAGCCCTTGGGCCTTGCCGGTGCTGCTGGCCCCAAAAAGGACGGGTCGATCCGGTTCTGTGTGGACTATCGGAAGCTCAATGCCATCACCGTGTCTGAGTCTACCCCATGCCCAGGCCTGACGAGCTCCTAGACAAGCTGGGAGGCGCTCGGTACCTTACCACCATGGATCTTACAAAGGGCTACTTGCAAGTGCCACTGGATGCAGATGCCAGGCTGAAATCGGCCTTTGTCACCCCTCTGGGGCTCTATGAGTTCCTGGCCCTGCCTTTCGGCCTCAAGGGGGCGCCGGCCACCTTCCAGCGCCTGGTGGATCAGCTACTGAGGGGGATGGAGAGTTTTGCCGTGGCGTATATCGATGACATCTGCGTCTTTAGCCAGACCTGGGAGGACCACGTGTCCCAGGTTAGACAAGTGCTGGACCGACTCCAGAAGGCTGGGCTGACCGTAAAACCGGAGAAGTGCAAGGTGGGGATGGCTGAAGTATCTTACCTGGGCCACCAGGTGGGGAGCGACTGCCTAAAGCCGGAACCAGCCAAAGTGGAGGTGATCAGAGACTGGCCCGCTCCCCAGACCAAAAAGCAGGGCCAGGCCTTTATTGGGATGGCGGGGTACTATCGAAGGTTTGTGCCCCACTTTAGCACCATAGCTGCCCCCATCACTGGGCTGTGCAAGAAGGTGGTCTGGACCGAGCCGTGCCAAAGGGCTCCCTGTGCATTGAAGGAGGCTCTGGTCAGTGGCCCAGTTCTCGTAACTCCAGACTTTGACAAGCCCTTGATGGCGTTCGCCGACGCCTCAGACACAGGACTGGGGGCGGTGTTAATGCAGGAGGATGAAAAGGGGGAGAGACACCCCATCGTGTACCTGAGCAAGAAGTTGTTACCTCAGGAGCAGAACCATGCGGCCATCGAGAAGGAATGCCTGGCCATGGTGCGGGCCCTTAAGAAACTCCAGCCCTATTTCTTTGGGCGACACTTCACCGTGTACACCGACCACTCCCCTGACCTGGCTACACCCGATGAAAGGAGCCAATGCCAAGCTTCTGAGATGGAGCCTGCTCCTGCAGGATTACGAGATGGAGGTGGTCCATGGGAAGGGGAGTGCTAGCAGGATAGCTGATGCGTTGTCCCAGAGGGTGACCCCGCTCCGTTCAGTCTCGAAGGGGGGAGAGATGTGACGCAGTTGGGAGTATTAACCTGGGAATGGTGCAGGGGAGTTTTACTAGTTTACTGTCTTCTGCTAACACAGGGCGTGCCTCAGTTTCCCCGGGGTACTGCACCGATACTAGATGGGGATGGGAAATAAGGGGGTGACTTCATTGAGGGATGATACTGCGGCCAGGTGACAGCTTCTGCTAGGGAAACTGGACAAGGGCTGGAGGAGGGGAGCCGTCTGGGGAGACAGAGGGAGGCCCAGAACCTGGGTCTGGGCTCCCCACCCCCCAAGATGGACCTGACAGAGGGGTCCTGATTTCTGTACCCACAAGCTCTGTTTAGACTGTGTTCCTGTCAGCTAATAAACCTTCTGTGTTACTGGCCGGCTTAGAGTCCCTGTGCATCGCAGGAGTTGGGGGTGCAGGGCCCCAACTCCCTCACACTCCATGACAACCCAGTCCCCTCCCAGAGCCAGGGATAGAACCCAGGAGTCCTGACTCCCAGCGCCCCCCCCCACCCACACACACACACAGCCTGTAACCTCGCATGGGGGGGTTACCTTGCAGAAGGCGCAGTATTGGCACACGGAGCCCGGCTGGTAGCCATCCTCTTCCTCCTCCTCCTCTTCATCTTCCTCCCCCTCTGCAAGGACAGACACAGCTACTGCCCGGACACCTGGGTTCCATCCCTGGCCCGGGGAGGGGAGTGGGGTCTGGTGGATTACAGCAGGTGGGGCTGGGAGCCAGGACTCCTGGGTTCTCTCCCCCTCTTTTTCTCCCCACAGCACAGCAGCCGTGGGGCTGGCACATTGGCCTTGGCAGGCGTGTCCCAGGACCGACCCCCTTACCCCCCCCACTCCGGTAGGCCCACAGCCTTGAGGTGATCAACTGCCTGGGCCCCCTACTATGCCCCCCCAAGTCTCTCCTTCCCCTCCCAATGCCCTTCTGTGCTGCCCCTGGATGATCCCAGCCCCCCTCCCCCCAGGTGCAGGGGCTGCGCTCACCATCATCTTCCTCCCCCTGGCGCGCCCTGCCCCGTCTCTCCTCCTCCCTGTGGGGCTTTCTCAGGACCCTCTCCTCGGACTCATCCCCATCCTCCTCGGACTCGTCCCCTTCCTCCTCGGACTCGTCCGACTCCTCGCTCTGCCCGGGACGGCCATCCTCGTCTTCCTCCTCCTCCTCGGGCTGGGGGCGCCCACGGGCCTCGTCCTCATCCTCCTCAGCGTCATGGCGATGGCGCCTGGGGGCATCTTCTTCCTCGTCGGCGTGGCGACGGGGCCCTGGGGCATCTTCTTCCTCGTTGGCGTGGCGACGGGGCCTGGGGGCATCTTCTGCCTCATGGGGCTGCTCCTCCTCATCGCCGTGGTGATGGTGGCCGTCACTGTGGAAATGGGGCTGCCCCTGGGGCTCTACGTCGCCGTGGCGATGGTGGTGGCCAGGGGCCTCGGGAGGCGACTGCCCCTCGGCCTGCTGGGGGTGCGCCATGTCGCCGTGGTGACCGTGGGGCGGCTCCTCCTGGCCGTGGTGATGGGGGTGCCCCCGGGGCTCCCCGTCGCTGGGGCCAGGGTCGTCAGGTCGATGTGGCTGCCCCTGGGCCGGCTGGTGGGGTTCCACGGCGCCGTGGCGATGGTGGCCGGGGTTAGGGTCGTCGTGGTGATGCGGCTGCCCCTGGGCCGGCTGGTGGGGTTCCACGTCGCCGTGGCGATGGTCGCCGTGGGCCCCGGGGGGCTGCAGGGCGCAGAGCAAGCCCACCAGGAGCCAGGCCATGGGGGGGGCCATGGGGGCGCAGGACAGAGCCGAGCAGCGGTGGAGCCGCGGATGCCCCGGGCTCCTCTGAGTGACGGCCCCAGCTGCCCGGCTTCCCCCCCGGCCCCCCAGCCAATGGCGGCCTGGCCCGGCCCCCGCGGGCCCCTCGCTGCCCTTATACAAGATGCCCCCCTCCCTCCGAACAGGCTATAAATAGCCCCCCCACGGCAGCTGGGTCACCTAGCTCGGGCTATGGGTCCTGTAGCGGGGGCAGGGCTGGGAGCCAGGACGCCTGGGTTCTCTTCCCCGCTCTCTGTGACCTGAGGCGTGGAGGGGGAGAAAGGGGGCTGCAGCGTTCGGGGCAGGAATGCGCTGATGGGACCCGAGGAGGACAGCGAGCGGGGGCGGGGAGAGCGTGTCTATAAATACCCTGCTGCCGGGCGGGGGGCCAAGTCGGGTGTCCCATTCCCGGCCACGGGCATCCATCCAGGGGGCTGGGCCAGCCGGGCACTGAATGCCCCACGCATGACCCCCACCTTCTCTCCCAGCCCCCACTCTCCTCCCAGAGCCAGGGAGAGAACCCAGGAGTCCTGGCTCCCAGCCCCCCCACCCTGCTCTAGCCACTAGATCCCACTCTCTTCCCAGAGCCAGGGAGAGAACCCAGGAGTCCTGGCTCCCAGCCCCCCCACTCCCAATCTGCTCTAGCCACTAGACCCCACTCCCCTTCCGAGCCAGGGCAGAACCCAGGAGTCCGGGCTCCCAGTCGCTCTGTTATGAAGCTCCTATGCAGGAGACACAGCTGCTGGGGTGGGGAGACTTTAGGGGCCCCCATAGGCAGCCCCCCATAAATGCAATGTCCTGAGGGGGGAGGGGCCCAGCTTTGAGGGGACACACTAATGCAAGCCACCCTCACGCTGGGGGGGGAAGCAAACAGGGGTTTGGTGCCTGGGAGAGTGTGGGGGGAGGCAGGAGGGGGGCTTCCGATTCCCCCCCCCGGGGGGGCCTTGGCTCAGAGGCTTCACCCCCCCTCCGGCCGGTTCCCTCCCTGCCCCTCCCAGGCTGGATAAAGGGTGTGGTGTGGATACATCTGCTGTTTGCTCAGGGCGTCCTGGCTGTGAACTCTGCTCCAGGGTGGGGCCCCCCTCCAAGGTGGCCTGAGCCGGCCCTGCCCCAGTGCAGGGTGGGGAGGGGGCCCTCCAGATTGAACAACCCCCCCCTCCCCTCCCTCAGGGAGCTGAGATCAGAATCCAGTCCTGACTCCATTGCAAACAGGAGTGACTCCAGATTGACCCCGGATGCGGAGAGCAGAATCCAGCCCTGACCCCATTGCAAAGAGGCGTGACTCCGGATTGACCCCAGGTGCTGAGATCAGAATCCAGTCCTGACCCCATTGCAAACAGGAGTGACTCTGGATTGACCCCGGTGGAGCTGAGATCAGAACCTCGCCCTGACACTGCTGTAGTCAGTGGTGACTCCAGATTGACTGGGGGTGGCCTGGCAGCCGGCCACCCCCTCCACACACATGTGGGTGTCTCAGAGCCGGTCGGGCTGGTTTCTGGCTGGGTGGGGCCACGGCGCCGGAGAGGGTTGGACTCACCTTTGCCAGGTGAGACGCCGGGTTCCCAGGGCTCCAGGGCCCTGCTCAGCCAGACGCTGCGGGCACCGGGTCCAACGGCCCCAGCCTAGCCTGGCACCATGGGCAGCATCAAACAGCGAGATCAGGTAGGGTGCCCCCTGCCCCAGGGCTGGGACGGGCACCAGCCGGAGGGGGCGGGGCGGGCAGCATGGGGCATCCAGACACCGAGCTTCCTGGGGGTAGGGTGCACTGGTGGGGGAAGGAGACAGCCCCCTTTCTCCAGGGGTGGGGGGTTCTGAGGGTCCCCTCTTCAGGGTGGGGGGGCTCTGGGGGTTAGGGGAGCACTGGAGGTTGGGGGGCTCTGAGAGTCCACTCTCTGGGGTGTGGGGGGGGCTCTGAGTGGTCCCTCTCTAGGGAGGCTCTGGGGGGGCTCTGAGGATCCCCTCTCCAGGATTGGGGGGGCTCTGGGGATTGGGACTTGGGGGGGTTCCCCTTTCTCAGACCGTGACCTGGCTCCTACCACCCCCACTCCAGGCCTGGATCCCCAAACGCTTCAAGAAGAAAACCTGCACAACCTATATTGAGGCTCCACGGGACGCAGGGTGAGTGGGGTCCCCCCCCATCGGGGATGCCCTGAGGCTGCTCCCCCAGTGCCCCATGCGGGGCCCCTCCTCCCCCTGCACCCCAGGTATTATTGCCATGTGCAGGCCGGGGTGTCTCATCACAGGCAGCAGCCCCCCCTGTGACCCCTCTGCCCCACAGTGACCCCTTCCTCCCCCCAGTGACCCTGTCCCCCAGTACCCCGGTTCTTCTCCCAGTGTCCCCCAGCACCCCCATGACCCTGTTTCCTCCCCAGTCCCTCCAGTGCAGCCCCCTGTGACCCCTCTGCCCCACAGTGACCCTCTGCTCCCCCCAGTGTCCCAGTGACCCCGTACCTTGCCCCCTGCACTCCCTCTTCCAGTGCCACCCTCAGCCCCCCCATGATCCCCATCTCCTATCCAGCGCCCCCCTTCAGTGCCAGTGCGGGAGCCCCCGGGCCGAGCACGTCTCTGTGGCCGTGGAAGACGCCTTCGGCACAGCCATCGTCAGCAAATGGGACTCGGCCCAGCACACCACAGAGGGGCCAACGGACGCCTTTGGGGAGCTGGAGTTCGTGGGGGCTGGTGGCAAACCCAGCAAGGTGAGGGGCTGCGTGTCGGGAGTGAGGGGCACCGGCGGAGCTGGGGGGAAGCCCAGGGCTGGGCTAGCAGGGGTCTGCGGATCGGGAGTGAAGGGCACCGGCAGAGCTGGGGGGTGGGAGGGGCTGGCCAGGGGCTGTGTGTCGGGAGTGAGGGGCACCACCTGACCTGTTCCTCACTGCCCCCGGCCAGTTCATCCGCCTGTCGGACTCCTCGGACCCTGAGCTCGCCTACAACCTGGTGACCGAACACTGGAAAATCTCCCCTCCCAACCTGGTGGTGTCGGTCGTCGGGGGTGACGGGGAGGCCCCCGTCCGGGCCTGGCTCCGGGACCTGCTGCGTAAGGGGCTGGTGAAGGCGGCACAAAGCACAGGTGGGCCCCCCTCCCTCTCCTGGGCTGAGCAGCGGTGGAAAGCTGCGTGTGCAATGCACTCGCGTGTGCAAACGCTGGTGTGCTCTGTGCAAACGCCAGTGTGCACCATGCAAACACTGCCATACTCCATGCAAACGCTGGCGCGCTCTGTGCAAATGCCTCCATGCGCCGTGCAAACATCAGCACGCTCCGTGCAAATGCTGCTGCGCTTCGTGCAAACACTGCCATACTCCGTGAAAACACCAGTGCACTGCATGAAAATGCCGCCATGCTCCATGCAAACACCAGCATGCTCCGTGCAAATGCTGCTGCACTTTGTGCAAACACTACCATGCTCCGTGCAAACACCGGTGTGCTCCGTGCAAATGCCGATGCGCTCTGTGCTCTCACACCTGTGGGTGCAAAAGGACATGCCCTGGCCCACTCGCGGGGAAGCCCTGCCCTGTGCACATGTCCCGAGGCAGCTGCGCCGGTGAATGCGCTGGTGCCCGGACTCGGCGCTGACACCCACACACACATCCACGCTCGGCGGCCGAGTGCGACGTTGCACCCTCAGGTGTGGCCATGGGCCGGCACGCACACGCCCCCAGGCCTGAGGGCTGGGTTAAGTCTGTGCCCGTGTCTCATTCAGGCTCTGGGTGTGACACGGGGGGAGGGGAGATGGGAGTACGGGGGGGGCTGGGAGGGCACTGGGAGGGGCGTGTTACACTCTCAGCCTGTGCCACAGTCCCTGCCCCGCCCCCCAGGTGCATGGATCATGACCGGGGGGCTGCAGGCCGGGATTGGGCGATACGTCGGGGAGGCCGTCCGGGACCACGCCACGGCCAGCACCAGCCCCTGTGCCCGCGTGGTGGCCATGGGCATCGCGCCCTGGGGAATCGTCGCCAACCGCGAGGCCCTCGTCAACCCCAAGGTACGGGCGGGGATGGGCATCTCTCTGGAGGCAGCGCATGGGCCGCTGGGGGCTCTCCTGGGGGGCCTGGGTGGGGCACCAGTCTGGGTACCAGGGAGGGGTCTCTGTGGGGACTGGGCTGGGCTGGGGGCTGGAGGGTCTCTGGGGGGGTTGGGTTGGGTGCTGGGGTGTGTCTCGGGGGGGTCTGGCCGGTCACCAGGCTCACCCGCTCTCCCCCTCCAGGGCTCATTCCCTGCCCGCTACGCCCGGGTCCCCGCCGCGGGCACCGCCCGCCCCCTGGACAATAACCATTCGCTCTTCTTCCTGGTGGACGACGGCTCCCGGGGGCGCCCGGGGGGCGAAAGCCGCTTCCGCGCCCACCTGGAGAAACACATCGCCCAGCAGAGGGTGGGCGCTGGCGGTGAGTACCCCGGCCCGGTTATCCCCGTCCTGGTTACCCGGGTTACCCTCGCCGGGTTACCCTGGGCCCAGTTACCACAGTCACACACCCCCAGCCTGGTTACCCCGGTCAAACACCCCTGGCCTGGTTATCCTGCCACACCCCCGGCTTACCCCCAGGTTACCCCTTAGCCAGGTTACCATGGTTACCCCGTGTCATGGAGTGTGGGGGAGTCAGGGCCCTGCACCCCCCGTTTCCTGCGATTCACCGGGACTCTCAGCCGGCCGGTAACACAGAAGGTTTATTAGCCGACAGGAACACAGTCCAAACCAGAGCTTGTGGGTACAGACAACAGGACCCCTCAGTCAGGTCCATCTTGGGGGGGGAGGCAGGGAGCTTAGACCCCAAACTTGGGGGCTCCCTCCTCTTCCCCAGCCCACTCAAAACTAAAACCCCCTCCAGATGTCTCCCCCAGCCTCCCCCCGGCTCCTCCTCCAGCCTTTGTCCACTTTCCCGGGCAGAAGGTGTCACCCGGCCCCAGCCCCCTCCAGGCTCAGGTATCGCCCCTCAAGTGAAGTCACCCCCTGCTATCCCATCCCCCATGCAGACAGTCCCAGTACAACTCCCCTGCGACATCCCCAGGTCAATCCACCCCACTCCGCCCCACGCCCTGCTCCGTCACCCCCCAGCCCAGTTACCACAGTCACACACCCACGGCCTGGTTACCACAGTTACCCCCGTCCCGATCACCACGGTCACACACCCCTGGCCAGGTTACCAGAGTTATCCTCCAGCCTGGTTACCATGTTTAGTCCCTGGCGTGGCTACCCCACCACACCCCCGGCTGGTTATCATGGTCACACACCCCGGCCAGGTTATCCCCCAGCCAGCTTACCACAGTTATCCCCCGGCCTAGTTGCCACGGCCAAACACACCCTGGCCCAGTTACCATGGCCACATTCCCCGGCCCAGTTACACGGTTACCCCCCAGCCCCCTGGCCAGGTTATCCTGGTTACTCCCTGGCCAGGTTACCATGGTTACCCCCCCTCACCAGGGTTACCCTGGTTTTACACAAACACACACACACCACCATGGCTACCATGGTTACATACACACCACAGCCATGGTTACCAGGGTTAGTAGCCTTTCCTGTGCCCTTAACCACATCTGCCCTCCCCCCCACCCCCCATTATTCCTGGTTCCCCCTCCTCTCGCCCCCTAAGTTCTGAGTGTCCCCCCTCAGGCTGCCCCATTCCCTCCCCGGCGCAAGATCCCCTGAGCTGGTCATGGTCTCCTTCACACAGAGAGAACCCAGGTGTCCTGGTCCCAGGGGTGGGGAGAGAACCCAGTCATCCTGGTGCCGGGCCGAGCAGTGGGGAGAGAACCCAGTCGTCCTGGTCCCGG